TGGAAGTCAAAGACCATTTAAAAAATGGTTGATCTGGTTTTGTAGTGTAAAACCCTTAGTGAAACAATGGTTGTTCCGTAAAGGCTTTTAAAACAATGGTGGTTCGACTTCTAGGGCATATATATATATAGTTCACCACCCAGTTTGGGTGGTTATTAGGTGGAACAGGGGGGTCTATAAACCACCCGACATGGGTGGTGCTGGTATAGTTCATCATAGTCTTAGTCATAGTTGTCTATTTATTGAATGCGCCTGGAGACGTGTCAGTAGTGGGCGGGATGGGAGAGAGAGGGAGAGCGAGATAGAGAGAGAGAGAGATAGTGGCATGATTTCGCACCACTCTGCTTGGGGTGTGACATCTACCTGCGAATGCACTCCATGTTGTATCCCCCAAAGAAGAATAGAGAACATCTTGTGCACTGGAACTTGGGACAGTTTCTCGTAATTAGTGATTGGACTTCATCACATCAAATCTATTCAAATCTACCAAAAGCATCCTCCGACCCCTACACAAAACTTGCATTGAGTGTCGATGCACCTCACTGACATCAGGAATGATGTATGGCATATCCAGTACAACTAATTAAATTACCGTCTTTGATGGCCTGCTTGGGGCAGCGGTTCGAGCGCCACTCGCTTGCTTCGATGTTTCTCCACGCTCCGTACGGCTCACATGTGGCGTACAAGGGATACAACATGTGTACCCCGATTTCGAGGAGACAGTCATGTTAGAATAAGGCCGGTCCGGCCGGTCCGGTCGATTTCGTCCGTTTTTAAGCAACATAACACTTACGACAAAAAACCTGAGGCGTTTGGAGGTGAGCCACGACTTTCATGATGTGTCTTCTCAGCCTCATGGGCCTGAAACCTAAACCATGGCTTCAGATGTCGTCAACACCTCCTATTCCGATTTCCATGGTCAACACTATTACGAGCAATCTGCTTAAGTGCCCACGTTCACTTGCATCCACTATCGCTCATCAAATCTCATCACCTACAGAGAAGCCACCGTCGTGGCCATCCATTTCGCAGCCAACAGCGCGGCTGACTGCTGCTTGCGACAGCGCCTGCTGCCGACATGGCGGCCAAGCCGGCCGCCTTCCTGTTGACTCCGAACCCCAGAGCTCAAGAGCCACTGGGCGATGTCTCGGATCAGCGTGGCGTTTCTTCCGGGGCGTTTCTTCTTCAGTCCCAGTGAAGCTGTTCATAGTGTTGGTGTCTTTTTCTTCTGGGTCATGGTGTTCCATGGTGTTCGGGTTGTCTCAGAGGACCGTGGATAGGACCGTGGACATCGACATCGGACTTGGTGATTCAGTGCAAAGTACCGCTTGGTGATGTCACAGAATGGTTCGCAGGCACTGAACTTCGGACGTGAACTTCGGACGTGTACTGAACTTCTTTTTGGGGAGGTCTTAAAGAGTTGGATGGATCGTCCGATTTGGAAGAGGAACCTGCTCAAACTCATCATATCTCTTCTCCATAAGAATGCTTCTAGGAATTCGAAGCTTTGCCTCTTGCAAGAACGACCAATTCTGTTGAGGTCCTCACCAAGCTGGGACAGAGCTCAACTCTGGTCTGTGTAACACGACGGTCTGATGGATTTGTTGTTTGGGATGCCCTGAAGCGCTCGACTCATGGACCGAAGAAGACGGATGTTCTCTTGGGAAAGTTCTTGGGATGTTAGATGGTCAACGATGTTGACATGACGTGGGGACAACATGTGTGATTCTTGGCGTTTCCGGCTAAACCATTGTGGACCCTGCCAAACTGCAGATGAACATCTCAAGTAGACAGAGATCTCTATGTTTGGCAGTTTTTTGGCGCCTATAGTAGGGCCTACAGGGTATACTGAAGTTAGGGGTCCAACGGTGAAGATGTATAACTGTCCTAGTAGCGATGCCCTTTGTTCCTCCGTTCGCTTCTTGCTCCGTTCGTAGCGATGCCAGGAGCCCCGTTCGTAGCTTTGTATTCATGTATAGACTCTGTGCTCGGCGTGTCCTCCAACTGGTTTCTGCTGACAGGTATGCTCGGCGTGTCTACATGCACCCCGGCCCAGGATAGGTTTTTCATTGCTGCACAATGTGTGCTTGGTTTCAAGATGTGTTAGGGTTATCCACTCAGGCGCAGTGCAATTTGCGGATGGATTCATGATGTGATTCATTCAGTTTGTTGGGATTGCCACGCGGTTTTCACTAAGTTCTTTCATATCATATGCCGGGTGCAGTGGGGCCTGCGTGATTTGTTTGGGTATTTGAGGTCAAGATAGCTTAACCCCAAACGATGTCCAGAGGGTCCAAAGGATTGCACCCAGATAGTCTAACTTCAAGCAAACCAAAAGGAGTGGACACCCGGATGCAGCGAGACCTCAGGATGTTCCCCAAACCCACAGACTTTAGGAACAAAAAGTCTTTTGGGAAAAAACTTGAGTTCCTCATATAGACTCTACGGACTCTAGACTCACTGCTTACATAAGACTACGAGGAAACTCAAGGCCAAAAAAAGGTCTACTAGTAGCTTCTTGCTACTAGTAGCGATGCACTTGTTCCTAGTAGCGATGCCCTTTTTTTCTAGTAGCTTTTTGCTACTAGTAATGCCCTTAGCTAGTAGTATTTAGTCATCGTTGGTATTCTTTGGAAAGTCGGACGGACAGGCGATCCGGTGTGTGGGTCGAATCCCCCGTGTTTCAGCCACGGTCTGTACAACAACCCAGACGCTCCATGTATGCCATATATGCCTTCATTGACCCCCAAGCCACCCCAGTTGCAGGCAATATATATATGCCATAGTTATATGCCATGCCGATCAATTCACCTCCCCCAATGCAGGACCCCAGTTCTAGGCATATATGCCAGTCCCATGGAGTGTTTGGGATAGGTGTGCAATGATGATAGAACCTGGTTTTGCGGATCAGTGGTTATTTTGTATGACTTTAGTATGTTCCCGAACTGAATGATTTTTTCTGGCATGGGTAATATTTTTCACGGTTCTTCGGGCTTCCTGGACAGCGAATCCAAGTTAAGAACTAACATTTCATGAAGACATATGAAGACCTGGCTGCCCCTTGAACCATAGTCGGCTCCAAAATATATCCTTTAACAAAATGCAATCCAGGAGGTAAACTCCTTTTTGCATGGAATATGGCGTTCGCAAAGTGTTCTTTCGGAGTCCTGCTACCCTTCAGGAAGCACGGAGTAGGGTAGAGACAGTATAGAGCCTTATATTAGGTGGTTTCGGTTCAATGGAATACTCTGCTCGTGGGTCGCATGTGCTCTGTGTGACAAGCCCTAGGGCTCCAACCAGATATATCCTGAGAAGGTGGTTAGACCCTCCTAACCCACCCCAACCACCTTCTCAGGAGATAGTTGGAGCCCCTAAGGACAACATAAATTGCTAGAATCAAGCTGCTGCTGTAAGCTCCTGCTCCTGATGCACGAGTCTACGCGTTTGACTCCAGTCGACAACCCTAAAACTGTTAGAAGTTATAAAAGCCATCAGCCTCAAACTTTGGAAAACCGGAGGTGAGAAGCCACGGAGAGTCACTTTCCAGTACATCGATCAGAGAGGAATAAATACTGCATTGCACGAAAACATCATGAAACCCAAAGCCCGAAACCGTCCGTCGTTGTGAAGATCGGTTTGAGGACTGCTCTTCACTTCGGACCTACCAAATCACTTTTGATCACCTCATGGTCTTAACTCACGTGCTAAGGCAGGCCAGCATAGCACGACGCCCAGCATCAGCGCCTTTGGGCAGACGACCTGTGGAGACAGAGGCTGGACAGGGGGACGTCAGAAACAAAGCGCAGGACGTGCAGATCTTGTTGATGGAAGTTGAAACAACACTTGGAGCAGTTGTGGACGACTGGAGCAGTTGCTCTTCCAAAGGTATCATCTCCATGTAGTGGGAAATTTACATGAAGGATACGTGTATATATAATATTATATATATAATATATATAGGTTATGAGTTGCTTTAGCTTCTTTCTCTGTGAGCATGTAGGACTATTCATAAAATTTGCTGGGACTAATCATAACAGACTGGGACTATTCCTAAATAATGCTGGGACTATTCCTAAACAATGCTGGGACTATTCCTAAACAATGCTGGGACTATTCATAAAAGCACCTTGGACTATTTCTAAATGGTTTGTTAAGTTCTATGAATCATGCTGAAGTATTATTACATGTTCCTGAGGTGTTTCCCAAACATTGGTGCACTTCCACTTCAAGGGCACCTCACACGTCAATTTGCCAATTTGTTTACTTGGCAACGCCTCAGAACAACAAAAAAACTGCCAGTGCCAGGGAAGGTTTCTGAGAGGAAAAATTAATTCCACCCAGTCACTTTTTGGTTAGCACATAAATCAAGTCTGCTCCAGTGGGTGTTTTCTCAAGAACCCTCCCTCCACCACACTGACATTTGCCAAGGCACTGGTATTGGTATTGGTATTGGGGTTGATTCGTTGTACTGTATGGGCCTATGTGATTTCTGACAATGGTCCTAGACCCTAGTCCCTAGTTGATCAACAAATTTCTTGGACGAATCAACCCCAATGCCCAATGCCAATGCCAATCTCAGCACCAAACCAAGCGCAGCTTGCATGAGCTGCAGGCCTTTTCCTTTGCACCAGGTAGGCCCTGAACTGTCAAAACGCGTCTTGTGTTGTGATCTACTCACCCTGAGCCCTGCTCGTAGGTGCTTGCCCCACCAGTTGACACAAATGTGACCTTGACATTGACATAAACACAGGCTACAACTCATAGCCTCTAGGCTCTTATCATAGGACAGATTATCCTGTTGGCCCTAATCACCAAAATTACATACCATCAACTTTGTTCTGGAAAATATGACACCGAATAAACCTAACCTGCAACATTGGGGCTCACCTACTTAGGCAAGGATCCCTACCAAAACGACACAGTGCTAGGCTGCATCAGTCGATGTCTATGCCCTGCACTGCTAAGTCCCCTGAAGAATTGAAAATGGTTCGGCTCACTGTTCACTTGTCTTGTTTCCTCTTGCGGGTCGACTCTGCTGCTCCACGAGGCTTCTTTGCCTTGTCACCCTTCTTCTCTGTCGCCTTCCTCTTGGCGCCCTTGTTGTTCTCAGTCTGTGACTTTTGTGCTGGTTTCTCCCTGCCAAGCAACTCATCCAGCTTCTCCCTGAGCTTGGCAGGCAAGTCCTGCCTGGAGATGCCCAGGCTTGCTCCATACTGAATTGCTGCAGCATGGCTGGACTTTGGATCCTCCTTCTGGTACTTCTCAGGGCTCATGATCAAATCACTAGCAGTGAGGATTGCCACACTGAAGGCCGAATCTTTGCGATAGTCCTGACAAAAGACAAAAAAAATGTAACATCAATAATATTGATCCATGTTGATCCTGTGGAATTGAATCTTGCAGTCCAGTAAGGTGCAAATTGGGTACTCTCACCTTGGACCTGTGTTCTCATCCCAATCTCACCATTCTCTCACAAGTGTGTTGACTGTGAGTTCAGAAGTGCAAAACTGGCAAAACACGTTTAAAAATAAAAAGTGATGGTCAGTTGAGGTGGTTGTCCTCAACCTCAGATTGCAGTTCCTTCATCTCATTCATGTGAAGGGCTGTCCCATGGGTTCCCTGGATGGACTTGATCAAAGGAAGCCAAAGAGCACAAGAGTCGCGCCCATCAAGAATGGACTTAACATCACTCTTCACCTTGTCATCAGATTGCTTGTAGATCTCAGCCACGCCATCCATTTCCCAGGACTGTGTCGCAGGAATCAACTCCCTGACATGGCACAATGTTTTTCACAAACATAAACATAACATAACATAATTCATTAATTACTATTGGACAGTTTGTATCGCCAGTATAAAATGACTCCATATGATGCCTTGCTTGGATCCATATCAGTTGGAGTTATGATCACTTTGTAGCTTCATCGTTCTCATAACATTGGATATTTTTTGTCCAGTTCTGTGTTTGTGTCAGTCAGTCAGTCAATCAATTAGTTAGTGTCAGTGTGTAAGTAGTGTACGAAATGATATGATAATATGATAAAATTATGTCACTATGAGATTACGTTGTTGATGATGAAAACTTGTAGTTGTTTGCTGTTGTTGTTATTGAAGCCCTGTAGTTGTAGTGTTTTCATTGGGTAGTTGTTGATGTGCAGTGCTGACAACCACCATCCAGCAAACATGCATGTATTGACTCTGTGAAGCTAGCAAGCTAAGTCAAGGGAAAAAAGAACCTAAAGCTCCAAAACACCCAGACCTGAACACAGAACCTGAATGAATTATGTTTTGTCACAGTTGGGTATCACGCTGACCCAATTTCATGAGGGTGGAATGGTGTTTATCACATGCTTCAACTCATCTCCCCAAGAGAAAATACTCAGCGCCCAATGCGCCTACCTGTATGGAGCAAGAGCGCGCTGGTACTCTGCCAAAGTAGACCGCTTTGCACCAATCCAGGAGGCCAGGCTGGCCTGGAAGTCGTTGCAGAACTTCTCCATTTGGTCCCACTTCTCTCCAGCCACCTCCCTCATCAAGTCAACATCAAGCGACTTGAACTTGACAAAGAAGGGCAGGTTAGTCTGCAAGGGTTGGATCTCTGGAGAAATTGTCTCAACAGACAGGGCCTTGTCATCGGCACTGGCTGCAGCAGACAGAGTCAGGGAAAGCTTGGCCACTGATGCTGGACTCGTGGTGGTCAAGTCAAGGCTTTTGCAAAGGGACGAGTATGCTTCCTTGATGCCACTGTTCTCAACACAGGTCTTGATGAAGGCCCTGGACAAGAAAGCAATTTGCTTTTCCAGGCGATCGCAAGCATCACGCACACAGCTAGTGATGGGATGCTCCTGTGTGCTGCTCGCCAACCTGGCCACACCAGACAATGGCTTGCTCATGCTACGCCACAGGGCCAAAGTCTTGATCACAGGCTCAGTCTCCTGGCCTTTGTCAAGGAACTGAAGTAGCCCCAGCCCCACCTCTCTCAGCAGCGTTGACACACACTCCGGAAAGTTGTTGCCGATCTTGGCGTCCACCAATCCTGCACAGTCATAAGATCAATGATTGATCAAATCAAATGAATCAAACCAGTCAAATCAATAGTTTTCTTCAATTGCATGTCTGAGTCCAAGAATTGTCAGAAGTACAGTGTGTTCCATCTCTAGATCAATTCTGTGATTGCAAACTTCAAACTACATTTACTTTCGACCTAAGTACGTGCAACTACACAAACAATGCGTGACATCACCAGCCATACACCCAGAGAAAGACCGGTGACTTCAAACATGTTGTGAAAATGATAGTTCAACTTCATTGACTTAGCACGTTGCTATCACCCAAAACAACTACTTCTGAAAGCAACACACTCACTACACACACAGATATTTCATGCACAGAGAGTGATTAAACGCTCTAGTGAGGAATTAGGACAGTTGAGAAATGTGTCAAAGCTAGTCTGGGAGCTAGCTGTAGATGATTCAAACTCAAAAAGCTTCCAGCCTGCATTTGCGCAATCAAAGAAGAGCTTCCTGTTGCTCTCATTGGAAGAGCCATCCTCACCCATGAGCTCCACACTGGGTGGTTCCCCAGTCCACTGCAGTTTGAGAAAGGCACTCAGTTTCTCAACAGTTGCCTTGGGATCTGGGGATTGCTGCATGATGGATGCCTTCACATCAGACAGTGCCGTCAACACATCCTGCTGTTCTGTTGTGAGGTCGCTCTCTTGCAGGATCTTGATCACATCACAAACACTGTCTGAACCTAGTGTCCACTCAGCTAGGGATCCTTTCAGAATAGACTCTTCCAGAGCTTTGAGAGCTGTAACCATCTCTCCAGCCCTCTGAGTGGCACCTTGGCCATCCAATGCGCTCTTGGAAACTTCAGTCACTGTGCCCCAGAGCTTCCTGGAGAGAAGCAAGGATAGTAGCACATAGCAAGCAGTTCAATGTCATATCAAATCACATATCATATTCACATGGAAATATATTATCAATCTATGATTCATGATTATTATAAGTTTTCAATGATCACTCAATCATCCAGGATCCACAATATAATATACAGATTGACTCAGATTGACCGATATGATTCGATGATATGATATTCAGTAGTGAGTAGTATTAGTATTGTACTAAATTATTAGAATCAAATTGGGGGAATTGTTGCCAGTCTGCAGTTCCTAATGTTTCTTTTGCTGCAGACCGCAGACCTCGAAACTTGCTGCTTGCACATTGCTATCTTTGTTTGCCATAGGGCCACAGGGCATATATGTAACTGTATGCCGCATGCCGCATGCCTGTTTGTATGCTGTATTGACTCTATGACGGTATGGTACAGTCCCTGTTGTTTTGGTGTAGCCACATTGAAGTCAGTCAGAGAAATATCCTCAGCACAGCCTCACATGTCATAGCCTCCTATGGCCTTTTACAATGAGAGTAGTCTCGCAAACACTTGATTTCTGAAACTCACTGAATGCCAACAGTGCCAACAGGGCTATTCATTGCCGGTTTTTGTTGAACATTTTTTGCACATAAGCATAAGCAGCACGAAAGGAAGTCAGTGAGATCTGGCAAATTACAAAAGCAGCATACAGCATACAAAAGCAACAAATGAGAGTGTGGAGGCATACAGCCATGCCAACCCACTCACAGTCCTGACACATCCATTGGTTTTGAGGATCAGGGACAAGCGAGCAGAGACATTGGAGCTTGCAACAAGTGCACTGAAGCCCTTCTTCATGTTGTTGTCGATGGTCTGGCCACTTGAGCAGATTGAGCAAGCAAGAAGGCGCTGGAATTCCACCAATGGCCTTGTTGCAATTCCACTCGCATTGGTGATCTCATTGTCAATGGGTGAGAAGGTCAGAGGTGCGCTGGCAGGAATTGGGCTCCTCCAAAAAGAGCCATGTGTTGTGACAGTTGCGTCTGAGTTTGCAACAAAAAACAGTGAGCTTGCACTCTGATACAAAATGAGAGGCTCAAATTTCACTCTGATATGAATGAGCAACATTGAGCAACCTGTTAAAGCAGAACACCCTTTCAACCCCTGCCCTCATCGCCTACCTGCAGATCTCAGGCAAGTACCAATGACGTGGAATGGACTGCAAGATGCTCTCGGTCTGGTGGGTCAGCGAACGGAACCGGTCCAAGAAGTAGTTCAGCAAAGTCTGCTGGACTTGCATCAATGTAGTGTGGAGTTCGGCCACCAAAGGGTTAGGCTCACCAGCCTCCTCTGCCTCTGCCTTCAACAAGCGTAGGCCAAACAGAGTGAATTTGGACTTGTGAAAGCTGTCCTTGAGCTCAACGAAGTTGAAGAAGTCCTGCTTTGACCCATCAGAGGATATCAGCAGGTCACAAAGCTTTCTGCCAAGGTCTGTCAGGAAGCCCACCAGCTCCTGACACCCCCAGTCCACAATGATCTGTGCGATCTTTGTGCCATTGCCTTTGAGATGCTCAACGAGGTCATCGCCTTTGCTCCCCAACAAGGCCTGAAGGACGTCATTCTGTTGAGAAACACGGTTCACCTCCTTGCTCAGCTGCGCGCTGATGTCAGCCAGTGATGGATCTCCAGTGCGAGCCTCACACTTAGACACCAGGTCCAAGCCCTTGCTGAGTCGGCCATCCACCTCCTTGGCTTTCATGGAGCCACTCCAAATGGCATATGAAGTGATCTCTTCAAGTGCCTTGAGAGAGGCTTTCGACTTGTCCAGGATGGTGCTTGATGAAAGCTTGGCCTCAGCAGTGTTTGCTCCTGGCTTCTCGTTCCTAGGGGCAGGCTTGACAGCCTCAGATGCCACATCATGAGCCACCTGACCTTCTGAATCAGCTTGGACTTTTGGTGCCCTTGGCTTCCTTGGTGCTGCCTTTGCTTTACTCTTGGCGGCAGGCTTTGAGACTCCCAAGCCAACACCACTTGATGATCCAGAGCTAGATGAAGAACTTGACGACTCACTCTCTGAGTCACTCCCCTCTTCTTTCTCAGCATCCTCCAAAAGCTTCCTCTCTTGATCCTGACCGAAATTTTCAATCAAGGAATTGGTGATTGGATCTTGAATGAAGAAACTTGTGAAATTGAGTGGAACCTATTTGTACCCCCTCCTCCCACTCCCCACACACGCACAGTACAGCATACACAAACACATGTTTGTCAGTGTCTCTGTCAGTTGTCAAATGCAATTCAACAATAACTTAAAATCAAATCAAAGATAGTCATGAGTCATGAGTCTGAATCACAGTATCATTATCAATACTGTACTGTACACCTGTATGCTGCGCTGCTGCTGTATACCAAGGTTTGCCTAAAACACAACAGAACGCATTCCCAGTGTGAAGTGTCATGTCACTGAGCACACAAGCCTGGTCAATGGCATTCACCACCTGCATTTTGTCCTTTTGTCGTTGGTGAGCGCTTTGTTGATCCTCTTTCGTTTCATGAGCCTCCTCACAAGTCTTCTCAATCGCAACCCTCTTGCCCAAGACGATGGTCTTCTGTCCAGGCTGTTGGTTCATCACAGCGACTCCCTCTTCCCCAGCTTCGTCCTAACAGGGACGAGGGAACAAAACACAAGAGCAATCAGTTACACTCTTGTGCAGTAATTACTGTACTGTAGTAATGTTGTTGTGTGACAGCAGCCACAGGTCATCTCAGTCACCTCATCACATTACCTCCACTAATCATCAATCACTAAACATTCAAAATCTGTACTGTACTGTACTGTACTGTATGATGTACTCTCTGTACTCTGT